GAGGAAGCTACTGTCGGGCGTGGGACGCGGCGCCTGGGAGAGCCAGCCTGCGGAGCTGCGCGAGGTAGGCGTGCCTCGACCCCGCCGCGCTGGGGTCCTACGGACCGTTTGGAACGGGGCTGTTCCGGAGGGGCTCTCCCTGTCTGCCCCGAGGGAGTCTAACGTGATACGCGGGAAAGGCGACTCCGTGGGAAGCCTTGCAAGGCCACGCCGGTTACCTTCTAAAGTCCCTCCCCCCCCATACACACACAGTCTGTGCCTGCAGCATCCTCCCCAGTCCTGGCTGGGAATTATGAGAATTGCAGTTCCGGTGGATCAGGGAGAGGGTTATGGGCTCAGAAGGAAGGGACCCGGAGGTGGTGGGGTTTGGCTCACGACTAGATCCACAGAGGGTCGCAGCCAGCGTGGAATCAAGCAGCTCCGTGAGCCCCCCTCCCGTATGAGCATGTCGTGATGGGAGGGGGGCGTGAGGTCTCCCCCCAAAGGCTTTGTGCCGCCCACCTGGGAGCTCTCCAGCCAGAGGTCTAACGCTTCGCCTCCTTCTCCCTGCAGGCCGGTGTTTCGGGCTCCCTGGAGGGCCGTCTGCGCCCCGATGTGGTTCTTGGAAAAGATGCGGGCGTCCCCAGGAGAGGCTGGCCTACTGGCCCCCTTGTTCCTGGCTGTGCCCCCCGAGAAGGGCCAGCTGGGTGCCACCGCCGCCTTCTTCCCCAACATCCTAACCCCAGACCGCATCCCTGAATTTTGCATCCCTCCACGGCTGGCCAGCCCTCCGCCGGCGAAGAGCCCGGGCCCGGCCTTCCAGCCCCACCGCAGCCTGACCGAGCCAGGCTTGCAGGAGGCCGCCTCCCCTGGACTTGCAGACCGCGGCCCCCGCCCCTTCCCACCCCACCTCATCCAGGTGGAAAGCGTGGAGGAGCTCTTAGAGCTGGACCCAGGCGGCACCAACTCGGATCCTCGGTCGCAGGCTGCCCTATCTCTGCCCCACATCCCCAAAGCCCAGACCTCCTACGGGTTCTGCATGCTGCTGGAGAGCCCCCACACCCGCAGGAAGGAGTCCATCTTCCACAGTGAGGCCTTGGGCGGCTCCCTGGCCTTGCCCCGGTCCCGAGCCAGCAGCTGCAGCAGCAGGGAGCCGGCCTCCAGCCCGGTGGCCATCCGACAGCGTTTCTTCTCTGGCCGGCAAGGCGCCTGGGACAGCGACACGGCTTCCTCCGGCGAGTCCTCTCCCTTCGGCTCCCCCCTCCTGGGCAGGTCCCCGGCCCGGCCGGGCTCCCTGTTCAAAGCCCGCAGCCAGGAGCGGCTGCTGTGCAAGGCCTGGAAGCCCCGCAGGCTGTCCGGCGTGGCGAGGGCCAGCTCTTTGTCGACGGACGAGGGCAGTTCCACGGACAGCAGCCCCGGTTCCACCCGGCGCTCTTCCGAGAGCCTGCTGCCCCCCGCGGCCTCCTCCGGTGCCTGCAGCTTCCGCCCCCTGCCCGTCTTCCCGCTGGACTTGCCCTGTGGCCTGGACCGGCTGGGCAGGGAGGCCACCGTCTTGATGGACAAGGGGGGGCTGCTCCGGCTCTCCTCTGAGCACTGCCCCGAGAACCGGCGCGTCCGTATCCGCCTGATCAGCGTGGAGGGCCTGTACGAGGAGGCCTCCGTGGAGCCCCGGAGCATCAACTGCTGCATCACCTTCTCACTTCTGCCCGGCAAAGTCCAGAAGCAGCGGAGCACTGTCATCAAGCGGAGCCGCAACCCCATCTTCAACGAGGACTTCTTCTTTGTCGGCGTTTCCGAGGACCACCTCCGCCACCTCTCCGTCAGAATGAAGGCCTTGAACAAAGGGGGGAACATGAAGAGGGACCTGGTGCTGGGGGAGAGCGAAGTGCCTTTGATGCAGATTTTAGCTGCGTGAAACTCACGGTGACCCGGTGGAGCTTTATTTATTTATTTATTTGGCATGATGTGTCTGTGCGTGCATTTTTTTAAAAAATAAATTTAATTTTATTTAAATACGCAAATGTGTTTTCTGTGCTTAAATCATAGAGAAGTGTGTTTTTGGATTCTGGGGCTAGAGCTGGTCCAGGTCTACAGGATCAGCCCCTCTAATGGGGTCAGTTTGGCTAATCCTGCAGTTGCAGATACAGGACTGAGGCTAATTCAATCTCAGGTTAAGACCCCCAAAGACGAGAAATTAAAAATACTTACGTAGTACTAAAGCCAGTTTGAGAAGCGGGAGCTTTTTCCTGCGCATAAATGTGTAAGATGGTAGAGGGGGCTCTTGGCTGACCGTTGACCGCTCAAGCCCCTTAATCACCACAGGAGGAGAGCTATGATTACTTTATGATAGCTAAAAATTAGGAGGAATCTGTTAACACCTTTTCCAATGAACCCATTTTATCCAAAGGCAGAAGCTTTTGTGTGCACGGAGGCTCGCGAAAGCTGCCTTTGAATACAACCCGTTTATCGGGAAAGATGCTACCTGACAAGTCCTGATTTTTTAAATCGGCACGGGAATCTACATGGGTCTCCTTATTCAGAATGACCAAGGTACCAAGTGAGGTGCGAGCATAAAAAGGGCACATTCCCACCTGCAACCGCCCCCCCCCCCAGGAATCTACAATTGATCACTTTGATCAGGGTGGAAAACAAGGAGAGGAAACGTGTATAACCCGGGAAATGAGCCCAGGAAGCAAAAACGTGCCAGATCTCTGCCCCAAAGAGCTTACAGTCTAGTTTCCCTCCGGGTGGAGTGGGTCTAAGAGAGAAAAAAGGACAAGAACCATGAACTGCTGATAAAATGGATGGCTTTAAAAACTCCTAAAAGTACAGCAGGAAAATTTAATCAGCCAGAGCCCAGCTGGCAAATTCTGAGGGTGCAACTCGCAGCGTGTGAAATGAAGGTCTGCTAGCATCCCCGGGCACACAAGCTTTGATGCAGAGAGGAGGAAGGAAACAGCGTATGAATGAATCACAGGCCCAGGCCCTCTCCTGGGAGCCCGAGCGAAAGACTTAACTCTTGGCTCAGAAAGCAGCTTTGTGGAACAGGCAATTACAGCCCCTGGAATTAGAGGGCAGAAGGCCCCGGTAGGAAGGGAAGCCGCTGTCGAGGGAGACGAGGCCTGGGGTGCGCGTGTGCGGAAACAAACGTCGTGTCCCCTGAGCTGAAAGGGTGCAGGCTCCTCTCTGGTGTCAACCGGTTTGCTCCCCAGTTCCAGGTGTGACTGACAACCCCTCTGATTATCCCTGGCCACCGTCGCCAACTGCGCCAAGGAGCTCACGACCGCTTCAGTGGTTCTCACTTTTGCTGGTGAAGGAGAAGTTCCTCTGGTCTGCCCCGTTCTCCTGCGTGTCCAGCAGCAGCAGCAGCAGCAGCAGCAGCAGCAGCAGCAGCA